TGCCCCCCTGGTCACAGCTGACAAATGGTGTTCAAAGGTCAGCTGTGGGTCCAGGAGGACTCCCAAGTTGCGAACCCTTGATTTTGGAATCAAGGATTCTTCCTTTTTTCTTTTCTTTCTTTTTCTTTCTTTTCCTCCTCCTCCTCTCCTTCCTTCCTTCCCTCCCTCCTCAGTGACTCTGATTTATCTATTTCAGATAAATCATAGGTTCCTTGGGTATGGAATTATATTTTAAAAAAGAAAAGTTTCTATTTCATTTTTAAAAAATCAACTGAATGGATTTATGTGAAACACATATCTTCTGTAATAGATATAAAAACTAAACAGTTTTAATAAAGTTGGAAATACAGGCATAAAAGGCAATGAAAGGCACATGGAAAATGGAGTACCAGCACAAGTAATTTTAGAGAGAGTAAAAAAGATATTAACATTTTGAGAGACAAAGTATTGCTTTCATTTATTTAATGTTTCCAGGTAAATCTAGGAACAGATTTGATGTTAGCAAATATGTAATGATTTGAATTACTGAGGACTACAGTTATATTACTATTTTTGCTTCTCTTTTATTTCAGGTTTTAAGATTACCAAATATTATAAGGTTTTTCCACAATGCCATAATAAATAAGTGGAAGGACTTTATGAGCTGATAATGGTGCTGAGGGACACATTAATGCACATTAAAACAAATGTTCTGTTTAGAGGGTTTCATTATGAATATAATTACACTATATTCTACTGCACAACTATGTAATTTCAGCAGTAAAATTGATAGCATCACAAGTATTTATTAAATAGTTGTTGTCTGAGGGGAAATAGTCCAGATTCTCCACATAATAATATTGCAATTCAGGAATACAATTTTGTATTATATTGAAAATTATGAAAGTAGGCTTCCAGTGTGAGTCCTGACTGACTGAAGAACTCTTTGTGAACAAATGTAGACAACTGCTGTAAAGAATGAAAGACTGGCAAGTATGAATCTCTTTGAGAGAAGGAAAGATTAGGAAACTACCCATGAGCACTCTGAATGGTAGTTCCTTGTAAGGAGACACTAAAGTAGCAATCTCTCATGATTCTCAGCACCAGAGGCTGAGGGAGATGATATCTCAGGTCTCACCAGTGACAGAGCCTTTTATAAGGACATTAAGCCAGCTAAACTTACAATCTAATCACATTCAGAAAAGTTCAATTTAATGACTTTATAGATATTGGAGACCTCTAAAATAGTGAGCTTAATATGACACCTGATGAGTATTACCTTCTTATTTGCATTTAATACATTTTAAACATAAATTAAGAGTTTAAAATAATATACAATTTTATATATTTTATAATATATATCCAGGATGGCGAACCTATGGCAAGACGTAGCTGAGTTCAGCCTTTTTTAAAGCCATTTTTCGCCCTTCCCAGGCTTCAGAGGCTTTATAGAAGCCTGGGGAGGGCGAAAAGAGCCCCCCCCCCCCCCCCAGGCCCTCCGGAGGCTTCAAGGACGCTCAAAAAACCGGCCCTAAGGGCAAACAGGAAGTTTGGGAACGGACTTCCGGTTTGCTCAGAGGGTTGGTTTAAGCCCCCTGGAGGCTTCAGGGACCTT